TTGAACCACAAGGTTTGTAGTTTGACTCACCAGCTGCTCCTCAGAAACCCTATATAGGGTCACTATGAGTTGGAACTGATTCAGTGGCACTTAAGAACAACAGCGTATACACATATATAGTTAAATACATATATGGATTCCTGGTGTGGTCTTGTAGGATAAGCACTGGACTACTAAAAAGTATTGTTTAATGTTACTTTATTGAAAAAGTAACGTCCTCATCATCCAGTCAAAGAAATGTTTTCATCTCTTTATACGTGTTTGTCCTTGCAGGTGTATGGACGTTCAGTTTTAGCATATTTATACAAATAATACAAATTGGTTTTACACTTTACAATTTTACTTAATAATGTACTGCAAAGTGTTTCCCATATCTCCCCTCTCTTAGTTCTCCCAGTCCCTCTGTTTTTCAATGGTCCCAGAATGATGCAGTCAGTATCAAGTCTGTGCTTGGCTGCTAATCTAAAGGGTGGGGACTTGAACCCACCCACTTATGCCATGGAAGAAAGACCTGGCAACCAGCTTCTGGACTGAAACCCAATGGAGCACAGTTCTACTGTGGGGTTTCCACAAGTCAGATTCAACTAGACAGCAATGGGTTTGATTTTTTTTTTTTTGGTTTTGTCCTCCCCAAGATTATTAATGTGAGCAACCTAGTATGAAATTTCCCACGTTTTTCTTCTTCTTCCTTTTCATGTAAATCCATTAAAACATTTATAAATGGCTTTGTTTTCTAACTTTGGCTGCTGTCTTTGGAACACAAGGCCCCCAATACTTTGCACAAAGAAGCAGTGAGGGACCCTTCTTTCTGGAGTTCAACTTCTGAGAACACTGCCTTAGAGTCTGTATTGAGTATTCAGAGTGTCTGTTTTACGTCTTTCCTCACTTCGTTCTCTCCTCCACAGCTGGAAGCATCAAGTATTTTGGCACAGCCAAGGCCCGCTATGACTTCTGTGCCCGGGACCGGTCGGAGTTGTCCCTCAAGGAAGGCGACATCATCAAGATTCTTAACAAGAAGGGACAACAAGGCTGGTGGCGAGGGGAGATCTATGGCCGGGTGAGGCTGGGCAGGGCTGGGATGTCCAGGCAAGGGTGAAGTGGGGGTGAGGTAGGGTGGGGGTGGTGATTTGGAATTGTGGAATTTGGAATGGAGATGTGGGTACTGATCTGCACAGAAGGTCCTCCATCCATCCATGTATCCATCCATTCATCTAGCTATCCATCCACCCATCCATTACTCATTCAACTAACAATTTATCTCTCTATCCATCCATCAGTTCATCTACCTATCATCCATCTATCCATTCATCATTCATTTATCCTCCATCCATCCATCCATCCCTAACAATTTATCTCTCTATCCATCCATCAGTTCATCTACCTATCATCCATCTATCCATTCATCATTCATTTATCCTTTCTTTTTTCATCCATTCCTTTATTCTTTCTATTCATCTATCTATCCATCCTTCCTGCCTCCATCCGTGCTTCGTTGCTCGATTCTTCCTTCCTCCATTCATTCATCTACCTATCTATCCATCTATTCATTCATCTACCAATCCATCCAGGCATCCACCATACATCCATCCACTCACCTATCTGTCTGTCCATCTATCCACTCACTCACCTACCCATATATCCACCCATCCATTCATCTATCTATTCATCCATCCATTTACCATCCATCCATCCATTGACTCACCCATCTATCTATCCACTTGTTCACTTATCCGTCCCTTCACTCATCCATTCATCTACTGATTCATCCATACATCTACCATGCAACTGTCCATCATTTCACTTACCCATCTGTCTGTCCATCTATCCATGCTTTCACCTATTCATCCACTCATTCACTCATCTATCCATCTATATTCTCCATTGGAAAGGAATAAGGGAACCAATGATTTAATTCATTCATTCAGCGTGCATTTACTGAGCATGTCCAACGATCATGAAGCTGGTGCAGGACTGGACAGTGTTTCCTTCTGTTATACATAAGGTTGCCATGAGTCAGCACTCACTTGGAGGCAACATCTACAACAACAACAGCATTGTGTGCTAGTCATTCTGCTGGGTGTTGAGGAGACCAAAATAAAAGCATACAATCACTGCCTCATGAAGGAGAGTAGGCCTGTGACCCAGAAGTTACAACACAGAGTGGTAGGCATTGTGATTGCAGTGTGGGAGCCCCCAAGGGAGCCTCTGAGCCATCTGGGAGAAGGCCAAGTTGCCTCATAAGAGGCTAAGTTGATAGATGACTAAAATTATCCAGGTTAAAAGACCAGAGAGGGGATGAGGGAAACTGCTCCAGGCAGAAGGATCAGCATGTAGAAAGACCTGGAATCAAGAGAGAGTGACCGGTGTGTTTGGGAACATCAAGGCAAGGATTGGTGACTGTCTTGTTCATTGTGGTATCACCGGTGCCTGCAACAGTGACTGATATATATTAGGTGCTCAAGAACTACCACCCTACCCCAAACATGTAGTGGCTTACATGTTTCTGGGATGCTGGAAACTATGCAACCGGTGTATCAAATACTAGCATGGTCACCCATAGTGGACAGGTTTTAGCGGCGTTTCCAGACTAAGACAGACTATGAACAAGGAATAAGTGGTCCACTTCTGAGGATTAGCCATTGAAAACCTTATGAATATCTGTGAAACTATCTGATACAGTGCCATAAGATGAGCCCCTCAGGCTGCAAAGCAGTCAAAATATGACAGAATACTCCTCAATGTAGAGTGGACCTTAATGACATGAATGTAATAAAGCTTTTGGAGACCTTCATTTACTGATGGGGCACAGCACAAAGTGAGAAGAAACAGCTGCAAACATTCCATTAATAACTGAAACTTGTAATATGGAATGAGGGGTATCATTGCTAACGTCAGATGGATCTTGGCTGAAAGCAGAGAATACCAGAAACATGTTCACCTGTGTTTTATTGACTA